ATCCCTCAAAACACAAAGCACCTCCCAACAACCAACACAATAATCCCCAAACAAAAGCAACCCACCAAACCCAAACAAGCATTCATAACACAATCCAAAACCCAAAGCACCTAAACAAATCCTACCCTCAACCANNAACCAAAGCAACCACCTCAACCCATAGCCATAGCCTTATCCGTTCTATACCCTTCACCCTCCAACTTTATTCCACAATCCCAAACCAAGACCACCTAAACAATCCTTAACCTTACCATAGAGATAACCTTACCCATTCTACAATCCCCATAAATCCCTAAACCAAAGTAACCACCCAAACCCATAACCTTATCCATAGTATCATCCTCACCCCATACTTCACCCCCAACTTTTACCAGAACCCAAAACAAAGGCACCCAAACAATCCGCAGCCTACTCCATTCCCGAATGAACCTGGGGTATGCCCCCAGTAGATGTGTGGTGCTTGAACCATTTGCGTCGACTTCATCGACGATCACATGTGCCGGCCCACCTTGCATGATTATCTCAGATGCCGCGCCTAGCTACCGCTGAGAGCAGGCTTGACTCATATAGACCTGTCGAATTGCCCTGCGTTGCCATAGTGCTCATATTTTGCTGACACGCAGTAGAAGCCATGGCAAGTGCACGTCGGAGACGTACTTGTTTCCTCTTCCTTTTGCTTTCTGCGGGCCTGCCGATCTCGTTCGTCAACGGCGCAACCAAAGGCGCAACATCGAACAAACATACGTGTTCATGCAATCATTTCTTGCTTTGCGGTTTAGAGGGATGTAATGTCCAGGTGGATTTTGTACGAGGACATCTTCCTTGCCACGCCCAGCCGAGATGGACCCCCTGACGGAGAAGTTTCTGCTAATTGGCGTACTCAGTTTGATCGGCGCGGTCGGCGGGTACGCGATCAAGGACTTCCAGACAACACAGCTGTCGCTCTCCGACTTGGAGAAGGAGATGGTGGCGCTGCGGTTGAACACCAGTCATAGCATCTCTGACATGGATAAGAAGATCGATGCCTACCATGCAGAGATGGAAGAGAAGATCGCAAAGAACCATGCAGAGATGGAAGAGAAGATCGATAAGAACCATGCAGAGATGGAAGAGAAGATCGATACCGTGCTTGCAGTGGTCAAAGCCAAGAAGCGTCCTTGGGTCCGCTAACGAGCGGAAAGTCAAGCACAGCGCGACCGAGTCACTCAGTTCAAAATTGACTTCGACCCAGTCAGTCTTAGCGCCCCGTTCAACTTTTGGGATTCCTGTCCAGTCGAGCATTCTTGTGCCCTGAGGCAAGCTCTTTTGCGCCAAGGGCTGACAGTCCAGGGAGAGCATCAATCAGCCAGAAACCCGACGCCGCTGACTGAACAAAAGCAAGCTGAGCGAGTGCTACCTGCTAGTGTCCGCATTGCACTTGGTGGCGGCACCTCTGAGCGCAATCCTCAATGCAAACTTTCGAAAGCATTCGCGACAGGTTTGTGCCGTCCTCGGCGAGTTCCAGATGTCCCAAGCCCAGTTATTTGTTTTTATCTCTGTAAGGAACTTAAACATAGAGAGAGGGGAGGGCAGGTCGTTCTGAACGCGTGAACTCATGAGTTCTTACACCTTTAATAATTCGTGGCGTAAATATCCCCTACTGTCATTCTCCAAATAATATTAGTTTTGACCTAACTTTTTATCTATTCGCTTCACTGTTTGGGGGGTTTTAACCCAATGACTGGTGCGTTCTTTTTC